AGGGCAGAAGATGAGGCATCCCATCAGGCCTGAACTTTGCACTAGGGGATGAAGGGGGTTTTCTACCACCCAAGGATAGGGTCAGCTGGAGTTTCTTTCTTGGCCTGGAACCCTGCCCCTTGTATACCCCTGTGCCCCAGCTGGCTCATAGGGAAGTGAAGCTGCCTCCTGACTGGGGGAGGGCGGGGGGTATTATCCTCTAGGCTTGTGGCTGAGCTGGAATGGAAAAGGGCATGGAGGGGCTCCTCTGGCTTAGGTAGCTTCTAGCCCAGAGTCGGTGGCAGGAACTGGGCTGTCGGGTTCTCAGGGAGAGCTGTCCCCTCTGGCCCAGCCAGCCAACAAGGACTGGACCCTGGGAATATGTTAATCAGTCAGTGGGTAGGTCCCAGTTGGGGACAGCACATCTGGAGCCTGGAGCAGCATGGTTGGAAATAGACTGGGATAAACATATGGGAATCCCCAGGGGCCAGGAGGCCCAGGCAGATTAAGGGGGCCTTTGGGTTCAGCTGTTGCCTGGGCTGCAAAGGAGGCAGTGGGGGGTGGCCTGGATGGAGAATCTGGAGGTAATGGTGTCTTAGGGCTGGGTAAGAAAAGGCGGATTCCTGAGTCTGGAAGACAAGAAGTGCACGAAGCTGGTAGGATCTTCCATTAAATTTGCAGTGACAAAGAACAGGCGCTTAAGAGTCACATGCTGACATCCAAATCTGCCCCCACCCTATCTATGAACTTTTTCATTCACTCACTGTCCAGTAGTTAACCATTTAATGAGCTATGTGACTGTGGCTATATCATTCACCCTTTCTGGTCTCAGTTTCCCTTTCTCCTACTTCCCAACGACCTCCCACCCCCCTAGCCCCTGGATTTAATGCCGTTTAGGATTCCTTTTGTTCTAAAGCTCTACTGAGTCTCTTATTAATTCCTTCTTGCATTGCTCACAAACCCTCCTGCTCAGGACAGGCAGACGCCTTCATTTCCTGGGATACTCCCCGCACATTCCTGCCTCCCTGCCCTCGGACATGCAGCCTTTTCTCCCATGTGCCCACCCCACTCATTTCTGCTGCCCCAGAGCCCACCCACCTTGCCAGAACAACACAGTCCTAAAATGGCAATTAATGACTTGGCCATTATATAAAATGGTTTTTATAAAATACATAGAAAGTACTTTTTACAATGTATAAAAAAAGGTAATTATAAAGACTACATACAGGCCTTGAAAAAAGGGGGTCTGTGATGATATTACATGAAAAAAGAAAAATTACAAAATACACACTGTGATTAAAACTATGAAAACGTATATACCTGAGGAAGGGAGATCTGTGATTTTGTTTCAAGCCTCTTTCCTATCATTACAATTTTCTTTCTAATAGAAACATTGCTTTTGGATTTTAAAAAGCCTGGAGATGTCAAATCCCTCTGGCTCTACCTCCTCCTGGAAGCCTCCTAACTCCCACCATGATTTCTTTTTCTTTGAATTCTCATGCACAAGTTTCTATGGCATTACCTGTGGAACAGGGGGAGGACCTACAGAGGGCAACGCACTTGCTCTGGTTCCAGCCTGCCTCAGGGCCTGGCTCTCCCAACCTGGCTGCCTGGCCCTGCACAGGTTACTGAACCTCAGTTTTCTCATCTTTAAAATTGTGATGACACTTCTGCCCCAAAGGGTCCTGTGATGATACCCTGTGATAACAGCTGTAAGCATTAGCCCCACGTGGGGCTCACAGTTAGCTTTCTGATGTCATCTTTATCATTATTGGCATCTTGCCTTGTTCTCTGGTGTCTTGGAGGATACTGATATACCTGTCTTTCCAATCTGGCAATAGATTCCCTGAGGAGAGTCCCTTATGCCCCTCCGAGGAGCAGTACCATGCTGGGCACACTGCACAGTAAGCATCCCCTGCCCCACCCCACCTCTTTTCCATGCATGCTTATTCTATTTCCCTCCAGGTATACCAGGCAGAAATGGCCCCTGCCCAGAGGTAAGAGGAATCCAGAATAAGGAAGGCCTAGGCTCATCTTATGTCACAAAGTGGATGCTACAGCCCCTTCTCCAGGTCATGAGCCATGCGAGTGTCCTCCAGCCAGCCTGGGAGACTCCCCAACAAAGGCCTGGGGCACAGGGACACAGCAGAGGAGACAGCATGACCTTCCCTGCAGAGTCCTCCTCTGAGAAATGGGGAGGACATGATAGGCACTTTCCTTGTTGCAAGGGTGAACGAGGTAACATTTGGGAATAGGCCTCCAAGTGCCCAGGTGCTGGACACTCAGGTTGGTGATTAGCACTGCCATTTGTCTGTCACTAAATGTTGACCACATCCCCACCCTCAGTTGCCCCTCCATATTCCCTGCCTCCTACCACCTCAGGAAAACCCAGAGAAAAACTCGTTTTGCAGCAAACTCCTGGGGCTGAGGAAGTGGGGTCTCTTATTGTTTTCTGGATGGGCTGAGCAAAAGAAAGGCTTAGATAAGAGTGAGGGTCAAGAGAGGTGGTGCCTCTTCTCCCTGCCTTTTCTTCAGGCCACCCAGATATCCCAGGGACTCAACCCTATAGTGAGGCCTTCATTCCATCCTCGTGCCTGCTAAAGGGGAGCAGAACCAGTGCTAGAAGCTGGTGCCAATTCCTTTTCTTGGACATGTGGCAGGAAAGGAGGTGGGGGCAGCTGTGGGAACAGACCGTTCTGCGGCTCCATGGGATCTGGCCACATGGGAATGGTTCAGTGCAGGCTCTCCACCCAGCCTGGACATCCTTAGTGGCCCTGAGGGCAGTCACAGGCAAGTGGGATTTTTGGAGGCCCAGCACACCACTGCTGGGGACACCCCTCCCCTCCTTTCTAGTCCGTAAGAAGTAATATAGCCCCCCAGCTGAGGCCAAGGCTGTGCCCTGGGAGTTGAGGGTTGGGGTATTTCCAAGCCCTCCAGAGGATGCTGGCTCTGAACTACCCGCTCACAGGCCCAGGTCAGCTGGCAGCAGGAAGGATTGTTTTTTTTTTTTAACATCAACTCCCAGGCATTTAACATTCCTCGAAGCTTAAACACAGAAACATTTTCCTTACCAGACTGTGCTTTCTGCTTTGCCAAACATAACCTGGCTTCCTCCCCCTCCCCCACTGCCTCCATCTGCTCCTGTCTCCAAGATGGAATGATTTATGGTGTGTTTCCCATGGGGGTTTGTGCAGCTGACAGAAGATCGAAGGAGGAAAGAAAAGGGCTGGGAGTCCAGGTGGGGATGATGCCACTGAGTCCTGGAATCTGTCTTCTGGAAGGGTCAGGGCCCAGGGCTCACTGAGTGGGCGGCCCTGGACACCTTCTGAACTCTTCCATTCCGCAGCCGCCAATGGCCCAGAGCGTGCTGGAAGCCAGCCACGTTTCTTGGCTGGCTCTCTCCTGGGGCTGGACAGGCCAGCCCAGAACCCTTTCCCTGCCTGTTCCTCTGGCCCAACCCAAGGATGTGGGTTCTACTTCTTATCCCTGGAAAGTAGGTTCCAGGAACTGAATGCAGAGAGCTCTTTCTCTCTCTCATTAGCCCCCATTTCCTAAATAATGAAGGACTGGCTGTGGTTACCTAGCAGCACCATCTCCCAGGCAACAGTGCTGGAAGCAGGGTGCAAGTCCCACTGTGGTAGGAAGGGAGGTATTCAGGAACATGGGGTGACATGAGGCACAGCAGGCCCCCAGCTGAATAGTGCCATCTCCCCTGTTCAAATACTGCAGCCTGAGACAGGGTGGGAGAACAGGAGGCCCACAGAGGGCCCCAAGGGGCAATGCTACCAAAAAGAACAAATGCTTTCTGTGAAAATGTGTCATTCAGCTCCCTAATTCAGATCATGTCTAGGGCAATCCTTAGGGCTCCTAATGACTATGGCTCAATCCCAGTGCATGCCAGTTACTATCTCCTTTCCATGGTCACCCCCAAACCAGGCCACTTGAGTTGCAAGGTGCCAGATGGAGTGTGTACAGCTTCATGCTTGCCCAAGCTAGCATACTCTCAATAATTAAGTGAATAGGGCCTCCCTGATGGTGCAAGAAGTTGAGTCTGTCTTGGTGCCATGAGGCTGTCCACAGCCACTGCACCATTAAATTCGATCCCCGGTCAGGGGACCCACATGGAACCCACATGGAGCAATGGACCTCTCCTTTCTCACCCACTGCTCCCCTCAGCATTGTATTTCACTAGATCTGCCTGTTCTGCTCCCCACTCTGTCTCTGGTGAATCCTCTCACCACCACCAACCCCCACCCCCACCTCCCACCCCACACCTCTGGCCTATGCCCCAGCTCTTATATGCATAAATAAAAAAATAAATCTTAAAAAAAAGGTGCTAACAGTTATCTTCAAAACTGGCAGAATTCCCAGAAATACAGGCTGCAAGAAGGCCATTACCCCTACAGAAGAGGGTACTAGGAAACGCAGCTGACACTCTTGATCTGACTCTTGATCTGCCTCTACCAATACATACAGACCCCACCTTACATCAACGAGCTCTGGACACAGGTGAATAAGGCCCAGCGACCAAACCAACAAATCAGACAGCAGCCCCAAGCAATCAAATCAGATGCAAAGCTCTTTTAGTCAAATGGCCAATGCTGGGCCTCACTTCTCCTATGGCAGACACTACTTAGCAAACACAGCACTTGGAGATGCAGCCTCAGAATCCTTCTCAACACGGTGTTCCTGGGAAAGGGAACAGTAGACTTAAGCTGGGATATGAAAACAAAGCGAGTTGTCATCCCTCAGTACATCTTGCAGGAGCTTGGAGGACCTACCTTGGGTGTGGAAGCCCAAGGATCCAGGCATACATATCTTGATAGAGACAACACCATCTCCAACAAGGAAAACCACTACCTTAAGGAACTTTTCTCAAACTAGCTTTGAACCCAAGTCACAAAAAGCCAAGCATCTGAACCAAGATGTCAGGTGAGAAGACCTCCTTCCCACCTGGCACCACCCCCAGCAGCCTCCTTGAGCCTTGCGCCTTGGTGCCCGGGCTACGCCTGGATGCTCACCTGGATCTGCCCTTTGCCCATGATCTTGTCCACGATCTCGTTATTGTCTTTGTTGACCTTGGTCTTGTCATAGCACTTCTCATAACACAGGATCCTCAGGGACTGAGAGCCCTCCAGCTCAATCTCAAATTCCTGGGGAAAGATGCAATATGGGTCCTGAACCTCCGGACCAGGGATGCTTGGCTTCCTGGTAGGTGTGGTCTTAACTTTGCATGGGGGAGATTGGAGTGAGGAGGATCCTTGTAGACTACCTCATGAGGCATGGAGAAGCTCCAGAGGCCTCTAAATTACTGATGAAGTGGAGTTTGGGTCCTGAACTGAATGCCATGTCTGAACAATACCCAGATCAGAAACCAGTTGAGGAGGGAGTAGGATGTCCGGGGCAGAAGGGACGGAGCTGGTCCAACCAACAGGCCTGGCCATGCCCGGCCAACAGGACATAAGCTCAGGGACCAGGGTGGGCATGGTTGGTGCTCAGTTAAGGGGTCCCTGCGGGGATCCTTCACTTACCTCATCCCACTTGGGCTCTGTCGTGTCCCGGAAAACCCTGGTTTTGGCTTTGCTGACAAAATAGCCGAAGGAATCCACCTCCAGGGTACAGTACAGGTCTACAGAGAGGACAGGCAGAGATAGGCTGAGTGAGGTCTGTGGCCCAAATTGGGGCTGGTGGGATCAGGAAGGAAAAAGGGGATAAGGAGGCATCTGTCCCAATATCCCTCAGGGAGCACTTGGTGTGTTCCCCACAGCCCTAGGGGATCTGGTCCCTCCCCACTTCTTTTTTTTTTTTAAAGATTTATTTATTTAAGCATACAAGAACTGGGGTACAGGCCAGAGGTGCAGGGGTGAGAGGATTCACCAGAGACAGAGTGGGGAGCAGAACAGGCAGATCAACTGAAATACACTGCTGAGGGGAGCAGCGGGTGAGACAGGAGAGGTCTGCTGCGCCATCTGCTGGCCAGGGATCGAACTTGTGCTGCAGTGGCTGAGGATCGCTTCATAGGTTGTGTTTTAACCCCTTGCGCCACCAGGGAGGCCCCCTCCCCACTTCTTTATCCTCTTCTTAGATGGCTCTGCGCTGCCTGCCTCTTTCGCCATCCTCTCCCCTTGCTGCTCACATCTTAGGCCCTTGTAGTCTCTTCACCCCTGATCTTTGCTTGGCTGCCTCATCACTGAGGCCTCAAGCCAGGTCTTCACTCACCATGTTGACTAAAGGAGCCGCTCCCGCCCTCCCCCTTCTTGTGATCCCAGGTTCAAGAGGATGTCACTGGCATTTGAGGTGGGAGTCTCCAGAGGGCCATTTGGCCTGTGTGCTGAAAACCTGGAGTGACAGTCATAATGACAACAAAAATGCCTGCTCATATTTGGCTTTTTGTTGTTTTCTTCATAGCACTTGACTTTAACTGAAGTTGTCTGTCTTTTTGTCTCACTGCTGGCGCTACACCAGCAGCACCACGCAGGCAGAAGTCTTATTTTCTTAGTCACTGGTATACCCTTGGTACCAAGAACAGGCCTTGGACTTTGGTGTCAGAAGATATGAATTCCTCTCCACTACCTGCTGACCCTGGGAAAGTTCCTTGGCCTTCTGGGTCCCAGCTTTGTTCATGAGTAAAATAGAAATGATGTCAGTGAGCACAGAGGGATGCCAGGGCTTTCTAAGGAGATAAGAGAGGCTCTGAACAGGCGAGTACTGCCCACCCCTGGATGATGTCCTGCTTTTCTCCAGCACCTACTAAGGTGCTCAGGCACACAGCAGATGTCTGGGAATCAACTATTTCACTCAGCATTTGTAGGTTCCTATTCATCCAACGATAAAGGACACAGGTTCCTCCCTTTAAAGAATTCACCATGGGAGAGGCAGATTTTAAATGACAAAACAGGATGACAGGTGGTTTGCCCTGGGGTGATGGGAGCACAGAAAGGAGAGGCCCGTTTACTCTAAGAGCTCATGTTTCACAGTAAATGTTTTTTGAATGGCTGTTTGTGGGCCAATGGCAAAACCTCTGTGGTGCACTAGGAGAGAGGCAAAGGGCAGATTTCGCTGCCAGGGAGAAAGAGTGGGAATGTGCAGGCTGAGAGAAGAAGAGCTGGGAGCCCTGGGTCTCTGATCCTGTGTGAGGTTAAATCTTTTATTTAGCAAACGGGAGAACCTCTCAGTCCTCTCATCTAGCAAATGGGAGAACCTAGTAACTATCTGACTTGCAAATTCCTATGGGGAGAAAAATTACATAAAAAGTGTAATTGTAACTTGTGAAACATTAAGAATTGCACAGATTTCGGGCCTCCCCTGGTGGCACAGCGGTTGAGCGATGGGCTGCGAGGCTGCCCGCAGCCTCTGCAGCGCCAGTTCGTTCCCCGGCCGCAGGCGAGGGTCCCACAAAAAACAAAAAATAAAACAAACAAACAAACAAAAAAAAAACAAACAAAGAATTGCACAGATTTAGTGGATGGTGATAAAGAAAGGGGGGAGATGGGTATGTGAGTGTGTTTGGTGCTGTGCATACAGGTTCATGTTTTATCCTGATCTTAGATCAGTATTAACAAGCATGAGAGTGCTTTAATGGAGAAAGAAGCTGAGGCTCAGTGAAGAGTACTTGTCCAAGGTCACACAGCTTGTAACTGGAATCTAGGATTTCAGAAACCTGGGGTGGGGGTGGAGTAGAATGGGTCTTGGGGAAATGCCCTACATCTCAAGGCAGCTGGCAGGGCCAGCTTGAGAAGACCAGAGCAGAGCAGGTGGGACATGAGAAGCCCCATGCAGTGGGTCCATAGGCATTTTCTGTGAAAAGATGAACAATGGTCCACCCAGTCTCAGCCTCGAGCCAGTGGTCAGGGCACACTTACTGGCTGACTGCTTAAACCCCTTGGCAGAGTGGACGATGACATGGAGGAAGCCGTACAGTCCTGGAGACTCATCATCTGTAAGAAAGAAAAGATTTCAAGGTAGAGGGTGGTGAGTGATTCCTCTGCTTCACCTTCTCCACCCCAGACTCCTGGCTGGCAGAGTATGAGACAGTCTGAGCCCTAGTTTGACAGCACCACCTAGTGGCTGGATAAAGAAGTTTCCAAAACTCTCAGCTTCCAGGGAATGTGAGCTATTGTTGCTCTTTCTCCTTCCAGGCAGCCTGGGAGGCCATTCCAGAGCTACCCTCCTGGGCCAGGGATTTCCTACCATTATCCTGGGCACTTTCCCTCCCACTCTGAGTCCTGCCTAGCCCATGGCTTCCCTCCTCAGTCTAGCCTTGAAAAGTAGAAGTTAAGCAATATAAGTCACTCTGCTAACAGAGATAGATCAGCTCTGACCCCTGCTGGGGCACGAGGGGCAGATGCTGTCCATATGTTGAGAAAAGCTTGCCTTCAGCCCCAGTCACCACTGATCTCTACTCAAAAGCGCCCATGGATTCCTCAGTTTACAGAGCAGACAATAGAGGTCCTTTCTAGGCATTCTAGGCCTTCCAAGATCTGGCCCTTGGATACTTCTGGCATTATTTCTCATATGCTGCACTAATCATCTACTCCCCAACCCCTCTACTCTGTTGCTTTCACTATCTGACTACCTCATACTCATATTAACATAATCCCAGTGCACCAAGGTGCCAGATTCTTTTCTCAAGCCAGAGGGGGCTGGGGATGAGTTGGGGCCATCTGGGAGCTCAGTAGAGGGAAGTCCCTTTATTCAAGTACCTGGCAACAGAGTTGTCCCAGAACCAGTTGAGCAGAGATTAGCCATTTGCAGCCAAGTGTCTGGCTAGGTACTTGTAGAAGACCCCAGCAATGCCCTGGAGGCCTGACCCTGCCAATGGGGCAATCTTGGGTTCCAGATCTTACCGTCTTTATTGCTGGTAACAGGAATGTTGTGTACAGTCCTAAGTTTGAAACAGGATCCCGTGAGCACCTGGAGCTCCACTGAGCTCAGGACAAAAGCCTGGAGGTCTGCAGGAGAAGCCGAGAGAGGGGGATTTCATCACTGGTCTACTAGGCCCTGCTGCTCTTTTTTGGGGGCTGCTGCAGGAAAAAAAGTTTAGCTCAAGAGTAGAGCTGCTCATTGGAAGAGAGGTAAAGACTCATAGGCACTCACAGGGGAACTGGGTGCTGTTAAAGGGGGTAAGGTGGGAGAGTCTAACTGAAGAGGCTCAAGTATGTGGTAAGAGAGAGCAAGAATAAGGGAGAAAGATGAACTACCCTGGGCTTTGTGTCTGATTCTTTTGCTACTAATCCTATGCCTTAAGCACATTACTTAAATTATTTGGGCCTCAAATGATTAGTAACATCAATTAAGCACCACCTGCCCCGGCAAATCTTAGGGTAATAAGAGGTGATACTGATAAAGTGGAAATATTGGACATGAAAGTGCTTGGAAATGCCTAAGTCCCATCATTTCCATGGACACCATCAGGGCTGACTTTACCCTTCTTCTGTAGTTTCTGAATTGCTTCTCTCCATTCTGACCGCTCATAGTCTGAGGACAGTAGGAACAGGTAGCTCTGAAGAGAGGAGATGGTAATTCAGTAAGGTGACCATAAGCAAGTAAAGCACATTGCTGGATCCTGGGGCTCCCAACAAAGTTCCTTCTCTCTCCCTTTAGGCTTGGAGGAGGTAACGGGAAAGGGAAGCTTCCTGGGAAGCTAGATGACAGGACTGGCAGTGCCCATGATGGCCAGCAGAGGGCACTGACTGCACACCAGTTGGGAGAGGGAATGGGCGCTGGAGCAGTGGCAGCCTCCTTAGGAGGTAGGGGCCTGATTCCCACAGGTCAGAGGGAGCCAGAGAGGGGACAGCCCTGGGCAGAGGAAGGTCGCTTTCTTTGTCCCATCCCCCTCTTTCTGACCTTTCCATTCCGATTGTGAATCCGAAAAGGGATTGTGGGGGAATTGAGCAGCAGCAAGAACTCATTCTCAAACATCTTCTTTTTCAGGCGCTCAATGGCCCGGCTCTGTCCTTTGTTGGCTTTCTGCAGAGGACAGAGGACACAGATGGTTTTCTTCACACTCAGCCTCCACTTCTCACTCAGCAGCTCTAAACACAACATTCCCCTATGTATTAATGATGTTTTTTCTTTTTCTACATTTTATGATGCTTTGACATCTTGGGGGCTTAGTTGGTAAGGGAGAAAACTAACTCCCAGGGCAAGCTAATTCCTAAGATAATAAATGACTCCTCTGTGAGTTATACCTTTCCTATACAAAACAATGCAAACCACCAATTGAGTCCATACCACAACCTCCTGCTTTGTGTAATTCTTTTTTTTTAAAGATTTATTTATTTATACAAGCACTGGGGTACAGGCCAGAGGCGTGGGAGGGTGAGAGAATTCACCAGAGACAGAGCAGGGAGCAGTACAGGCAGAAGGGCCAAGGTACACTGCTGAGGGGAGCAGCGCGCGAGACAAGAGAGGTCTGCCACGCCATGTGGGAATCTCCCTGGCTGGTCGGGAATCGAACTGGCACTGCAGAGGCTGTGGACAGCTTCACAGTGCTGCGCTCAACCGCTGCACCACTGGGTAGGCCTGCTTTGTGTAATTCTTACAGGCTAAGCCAATACTCCCTCTGCGCTGTCACCCAGGGCCAGGTACACACAACTAGAACCACCCCTATTGACCAGAGCCTGCCAACATTATTCAAACTAGACAGTCCTGAGCTGTTTTCTCTTAGAAAATACAACACAGGCTCTAGGCAATGCTATCCCTGCTCTCCTACCTCCTGCCTTAGCCTGGTGCCTCCTTGTATAGCCCTGCTTGGGGTAGGGCATGCCCCACTCTTGGAAACTGTAATAAAAACCTTCTTTCAGTGGCATTAGCCTCTCCATGTCATCACACAGTCACCTCTATAAATTAAATCCCAGGAATTGCAAGACACCCTGCTTAAGGACCTCAGACACTCTTCAGCATAAAACCCCAATTCCTAGCTTCCCCTGACTGAGTTCCAGCCTCCATAGCCAGCTTGATATCCCACCACACCTCTGCTCTACACTCAGCTTCATGATATTATTCCCTGTTCACGAGGAAGCCATTCCCTCTCAGCCAGAATCCCCTACCCCTCCAATTATCCAAGTTTATAATTTATAAAGGACCCTCTTCTAGTAACTGCTACTATACTTCAAGTATCATTTACAATACTATCCTCAAGCGCCTCAGTTAGAATTCACCTCTGGTAATTTTTTTTTTTTTACCCATGAGACTGGCAAACCTGTAACAAGTGCTCATAGTCAGAGTTCGTAGAGTGTGGAGTAGCAATGCCCCTCACACTATGGGGGGACTAAGAGGCAATTTTTCAGGGGCAAATCTGGCAGTTAAATGCACAAGTCCTTTCCCCCAGCCACCCTACTTGTAGGGAATCTACCAGAGAGAAATGAGTGCAGTGACATTCACTGTAGACTTGCCTCTTAAGAGTAAAGAACCAGGGCCTCCCTGGTGGCACAGCGGTTGAGCGTTGGGTTGCGAAGCTGCCTGCAGCCTCTGCAGCACTGGTTTGATCCCCGGCTGCTCCCCGGCTGCTCCCCGGCCACCGGAGAAGAGTCCCATATGGCGCGCAGACCTCTCCTGCCACCCGCTGCTCCCCTCAGCAGTGTACTTGGGTCTTTCTGCCTGCTCTGCTCCCTGCTCTGGCTCTGGTGAATTCTCTCACCCTCCCGCACTTCTGACTGTACCCAGTGCTTGTATAAATAAATAAATAAATCTTAAAAAAAAAGGAGAGTAAAGAACCAGAAACCATTTAAATACCCCAGTACATAGTTGTGTAGTCAAGCAACTGAAAAGGATGTATCTGATAAAAAGAATCTGCTAGATGCCAAGTGCTCAAAGGTGCACTGTTAAGTGAAAGCTTACATTAAAAAAAGGCATGTGTGTGCTAATCTTCTTGAAAAAATTATATATACATATACAATATATAAACTATATATAAATTATACATACATATATTATATATACATATAACTTTATACAGGGGTGTGTGTGTGTGTCTGTGTATTCTTCTTTTGCTTCCTGTTTTGCAGTACCTGACATACACTGTTCTCCAGTAAAATTCCCATAATTAACCTCACCAAATTCTGAGCATGGCCTCCTGGCCTGGCCTCCATCTGCTGAATGCTAACCTGCCACGTCAGTCTTTCCCTGAGCATGTAATTGCTCAAGGCTTCCCACTCTTACATCACATTTCCCTTATCAGACTCCGAAACTACAGAACTTCCCTCCACCTCCCTGGCACTCCCAGTTTAAAGGGCCTCAATAAAAAGGTCAACTTTCCTGTCCCAGCTCAGATGCTCAGGCGGCTCTGCTCACCTCCTTCTGGATTTCACTCTTAAGGGCAGAGATCTTCATTTTCATGTCTTCCAGCTCATGGTCTGGGAAGGGGTGCACCTGTGGGCTGGCTTCAGACTCCTCGGGCGATGGAAACACTAGGTCGGCCAGAGGGATGTACCATTTGCAGTCATATTGTTGGTGCTTCCTAAGAACAAGTAAAAAAGAGAAACATGAGCTAGAGGGAATTTGGCTCTTCAAGACTGAACTGTTGGGCCCAGAACCAAAAACCTGCCCAAAAGGAATTTAGGAAACTTGTCACAGGCAAGAATGATATCAGCCCTTGAGGAGCCCAACAGGAAACAGACAAATGGAGTAACAACAGATAGCTTCCAAGAGGGTTAGGCAGCATGAGGGCTCTGCTTTTGACCTCTTCCGTTTTCTGACCCAGAACAAACTGGTAATTTTAAGTGTCCCAAGCCTGTAGGATGTGAACAAAAATGGGTTTACACTTTCCTATTCCCCATCTCACACTCTCCCCTTGCTTCTAGTCTATCAACACTTAGCTCATATTCATTATTGTTTAGGGTAGAGGTGGAACACAGGTGTATTGGAATGCCAACCCTTATCAACACAGGTCACATGGGGTACTGGGTCAAGGATTAGAAAGACATGTCCAAGTCTAGTGGGCAAGTAGTGCCCTGGTCCTTTAGGGAGATCTGCAGAGGACTGCAGGCACAGGAATGGACCTCTGTCACTGCCATCCATGCTTAGCATTAGTTCAAATGTGATCTACTTCCAGGGAGTCACCCTTTATTGACTCCTTTACTGAAGTCCATTAAAATCCCTTGCTCTCTCACTTCCCCCGGGGCCTAGCTTTTCATGATACATTCTGGTCCCTGAGTGGTGCTGTGAGCATGTGGCTGTAAGGCACCATGGCACACAGTGGTGATAAGGAAGTGTCGGAGAAATGTATGGATGAATACTGAATAGCCTTTTCTGCTCATGGCAGAGTGAACCCACACCACTGTGTATAGAGATGGAACTAGAAAGAAGCTTTGAAGTCCGATTCAGGTTCAAATCCGCCTCCTCCATTTCTAATTGTACAACCTTTGGCAACTTATGTGACTTTTCTAACTCCTTTCTCTCATCTGTGAGATGGGGTAAGAATATCAACTTAGCGGAGTTGTTGGGAAGATTAGAAATAATATATTCAAAGCATTTGTCATGGCACCTGGCATGGCATAAGCACTCAATAAATGGTAGCAGAAGATTTAATGAATATTCACTGAACTGCAGTTAGCAAAAAAATTTAGAGATGTCTAATAAAAGGAGAATGCTTAAGTAAATTATGGCATATCTACTTGTAACATCATGCAGGAAAGTAAAATGATGATTATGAAAATTAGGCAGAGACAGGGAAAATGCTTATGACGTGAAATGGAAAAAGTAGAGCCACAAATTGGGCATTCACTCTGATTACAAGTGTATGAAAAAACATAAGAACATAAAAAAAAACTGGAAGGAAATATAGCAGCAGGAGACTAATGCTGATTTTTGGGTGGATGATGGTTTCTATTCTTTATTATGGTTATGCTACCTTTGTAATTAAAAACATGATTTATTTTTAGAAAAAGCTTATGAAGTGAAATAAAATTAATTAATGTATTTTGAAAAGGAAAAAAAAAGAAAGCAGACTGTCCCAGGTTGCTGAAGGGCTCCACAGTGGACAAGGTCTAGCTCCCTCCACCCTGCACCCTGGACTCACACACACTCACCCTGCGGATGTCTTCTTTAACTTGGCGCACAGTAGGACATCTGTAAAGAGGAAGACGTGCCGCAGCTTCCGGGAGCTCTCCGACACCTCCACCAGGAAGCCGTCCTTCACCAGCTGCCGTGTCTGAGGGAAATGGCACATCCACCCCCACATTCTCAGGGATGAGTCAGTCCAGGGCCCAGCTTGTACTGGGGGTACTGTCCCGTTTTGGGGAGGGGCATACAGGGAGGCACTATAGTGCAAGTGGTTCGGAGCACTGGTTTTGGGGTCCCTCGGACACAGGTTGAATCTAGATTTTGCCACTTCCTAGCAGTAATCTCAGGCAAGTTCCCTGACCTCTGAATCCCAGTCTTTCCATCTCTAAAATGGGGATAAATAGTATCTGCTCCAGGATTCATCAAGATGGTACATATAACAATGCCTGGCACATACTATGTCATCAACAACTGGTAGCTTTACACCGTCTCTCGGCTCTCAGCAGCCCACCTCTAGTTTAGGAGGGCTTGGTTCCTCTACCCTGGTGCATCCTGCTCGTGCAGGATGATCAGAGAGGGTTCAGAGTGCAGACGCTGCCAGACTCCCTGAGCATCCACAAAATAAGCCACAACCCAGCAGGATATACTGCCCCAGGAGGGGTGTAGACATTTAGGATGTGCCAGCTAGAGCTTCAGCTTCCCTGGACGGGGCACAGTGCATTCCTTCCACCACAAAACTCCCAAATGGAGTCTCAGAAGTTGATCTAGTACCTCAACCTGAAGACCAGTTCAATTCTATTTATGCTATCCCTATGTGGGTCCTTCAGTCACTCCCCTGTAGCAGTGGGAGACTCCAGGCTACCCTCTGCGAAGCCACAGCAGTATCCTGGGTGAATCTGAGCCATCTCTAACCTGGGCTCTGGAAAGTCAAGAGCATTTTGTTCCACACAGAACTTCCAGAGTCTCCAACCCCTGCCACCCTCAGGCCAGCAGGCTTCTTCATGGCCGTCGGTCCTGACCCTGCTTGTGTACACTACACACCGTGTGACCTACATATGCTGCAGTATGTAGGTGAATGTGTTGAAAATATACAATCAAAATATGAAAATGAAGTGCTCTGAGTCCTCTGGAGATCTTTCAGCTATCCCCAGAGCCAAACTAGCAACATTCCTGGGCTTGCAAACCAGGCCTGGGAGTTGTACCAGGAACAACTTCCTATGCCCCATTAGTCACTCTCCAGACCCTGTCCCTCATTACTTCCCTCCCCAGGAGACCCTGGAAGTTCCTAGTATAACAAAGGAGCATAAACCCAGTCAGCCTTCACTCCTAAATGCCATTTAATTACTTCACCTGGACAGGAAGCATTGTATGTGGGTCAGGCTGCTGACCCATGCCAGTAACTGTCCATCTGATTTTTAAAATTGCTTCCCTCCTAGGGTACCCTACCCCACCCTTCCACTAACAAGAGGCCCCAGAAAACTGGAGCTGCTGTACCATATCTAGGTGCCCACCAGGGACATCCAGGAAGCTGGTAGCCTCAGCCACCTCTTTTACCAGCTTTACCTGCTGTCAGGTTAGTTCCCTAGCTCCTGCCTACCCGCTCGTGCAGGATGGTCAGAGAGGGTTCAGAGTGCAGATGCTGCCAGACTCCCTGAGCATCCACAAAGTGAGCCACAACCCGGCAGGATATACTGCCCTGGGAGGGTTGTATGCATTTAGGATGAGCCAGCTAGAGCTCCAGCTTCCCTGGACGGGGCACAGTGCATGAGGTATGCAGATAGCCCAAATTAAGGAATCCAGTGCAACACTCAAGGCTGAGAGAACATGTACCAGATGTGGAGAGACTCAGCTTCCTCCTTTGCTTCACTGGGCTACGATGAAAATTAATGGGACACTGGACTTAAAGCTTCAACCTGGGGCCTGAGGACGTTTGCTTGGCTGTACATGGGAGATCAGGTTTCGGATGGCACAGACCAGTGGTGAGCTGGTTCCCTTGCACCCTCTTCAGACTAGGTGCAAAACTGTGCTGGGTCCTGAGCTCACCTCTCCCTTGGGAGTTGTGACTGCAGTCCGGCGGGGGTCAATGTCTTCATTGATGCTGGACAGGAAATTCTGGGAGATGCGGAGGGCATCCTGTAGCAGTGGGTAGTCTGGGTGGTCCACAGGAGTGTGCTTTAACAGGTCCTACAAAGAGATGGGGTGGTGAGTTAGGGGTAGGCATTGGGGGCTCTGAGAGAAGACACTGGACAGTACTCATTCCTCATTAAAAAAAGTTGGCCAAGGAGGTTCCTTAGAGACCCATACTCTAATCTCATCATGTCTGCAAAATTTGAATTAAAAATTAGCATCAGAGCAGCAGGGGTGAGAGGAGGATTCCCCTTTATTCTTGCTGCACTCATTATTCTTCCCCCCAGGGTGGGGAGCCAGGTAGAGTCCCATCTCACAAAACAGCTGGGAATGACACCCTTCCACACACCCCACAGCTGTTGCAAGGACACTGGAGGCCATTAGGCAAGGGATGGGGGAGGCAGGAAGTGTCTGCCTCCTAGGGAACATTTGGCCAAATGTCAAGTTTAGTAGCCAAGCTATATTTAGGCTCCAGCCCCGTCGGCATGGTTACTGCAGGCCAGACAGGCGCAGTCAGGCTCAGGGACCCTTTGCCTAAGTCCCCAAATGAGCTTTTCTCAATGACGCCAGCATCCACCCAACCTGGGTTCAGCTCCCCACCCAACTCCTGACCCCTTCCTGGATACTCAGGGCGTTAATACTCACGTGTAGGACCAGGGTGCTCCTGGTGACTCGGTCAATGGGCTTGTAGAGGAGAGCTGATGGGGAAGGAGACAGGACAGATGAAATACAGGAGGTCGCATGAGACCTTGGAGGCCAGCCTTATCCCCTGACGCCCCTTGCTTCCCTACAAAGACATCCACTTGCAGAACGCCAAAGTAGGTTCAGTGGCAACCTGCACCTCCATTCTCACCCTAGGGCAGACCAGACAATATGAATAGGTGGACATGACACCCTAGCAGCCGGGGCTCCCGCCCACCTGCCTCCTCAATGCATCTCCAATCAGGCGGGATTTCTTCAAGGACCATCCTTCAAGCCTTTTCTGAAACTGAGAACAAATGCAGATGCTCCCTTGTACCCCCTACCCCGAAACACAGCTACACCTAGCCACACCCCAGTGCTCCTGCACAGTCTGGGTCACACCCAGGACCCTAGCATGCAGATGGAAGGAGACAAGCTATTTTTCCAGGGAGGGTGGCTCCTCATGCTTGATCACCCTCACAGTCCTCTGATCCAAGACCTGACATCACCAGCTGGGAACATGCTTCGTTCTGACTTACACAGCCGGCCTCAATTCCTGAGGAAGACCCCTTGCTATGCCTTCAACACCCCCCGACCCCCGACAAAACAGGACAGGTTGTGGGCCATGGAGGCAGGCCAAATCTCCACAGGAAAGCTTGCTTCTCAAATAAGTGGCATCTGATGGGGCAAAGAGTTCCTGAAGGAATTCAGGTGGAATCTTGGGTGTGGGAGCCCTGAAAAGGCGAGGAAAATGCAAGCTCAGCAGGGCCCCACAGACACACCCCCTGCAACCAGGATGCCAAAATAGGATTGCTAAGACTCAGCAGAGACAGGTGGAGGTGGCAGCTGGCGGGCCAACACTTCCAAACAAAGCTTTCTGAAAGCAGCTGTGCCCTGCCCTCCCCATCATGGGTGATTCAGCTTCAATTCTGCACCTGGATGCCTCTGTCCATGGGAACATGACCCTTATCCTCCTGCCACAGGAGAAGTAAGAGGCAGGATGGTATCTGGGAAGGGGATCCAGATTAGGTGTTCACAGGACAAGGGGTGCCAGGTCCTAAAGTGGACACTCATGTGTAGCCAGTCCCCAGGTCAGAGTCTCCTGAAGGCCTTGATAGAAATACCCTGAGCATGGCTAAGTAGACACTTTAGGAGAGATTGCAGTCTCGGTGGTGTGCCACCAGCCCTATCTGCAGTCTTTGCTTGGCTACCCACTAAAATCACTGGGGAAGCTCTTGAGGCAAGCTGGAGGCCCCAGTCCCCACCCCCTCAACTAAACCCCAGTCTTTGGGATAGAACAGGGTAGGACATGAATATTGGCATTTTTAAAATGTTCACTTGCTGATGTTGATATGTAGTAATGGTTGGAAACCACCGCTTTATGCAAACACACTTGCCATGACTTGTTTGTAACCTGCCTTAATTTAGTGATTTCTAGAGATCCTCCCCACAGACTATGGGAGCTAGAATGGACAAAGTCAGGCTTGGGTACTGTGGAATAGTGAGGATAGGGCTCTTACCAGCCCTATGGGGAACCCTAGGGCACCCACCTGTGGCTCAGCCCATCTTTAGGGGGAAATCACACCCTGAGCACCCTAGAAACTCAAGAGAAAGTGTGAATTCAGCAGACACCTGTGAGGGTGAGCTCTGGGTTCCAGTGAGAGAGAGGGGCTGATACTGCAGTGTCAGCTACCTCCATTCTTCTCTTGGGTCCCAGGACAAAAAGGTTCCTGACTCAGAGATTTGTACAATGGCAGCTTAGGTTTCAGAGGAGTTATTAATATGCCTGGTGTCACCTCAAAAGTCCACCTGATTGGGGACTTGGAATAAGTCCTGTAGCCTCAGTCTGGGGCTGAGCAGGGGTAGGGCAGCTGGGAAGAAGATGGGGAGAGGAAAGCAAAGTTCAGGCAGAGGGCCCTGGGGAACCAGAGGAGGAAGAACAATCCATGTTCATGACCCCCATGGCTCCTGCATGCCTGTTTCCCTTAAGAATGTGGGGTGAGAAGCCTACCTCTCCTCACTTACCTCTTCCACGGTTCCAGGATGCTGGCTTGATTCCTGTCCCTGCTCCCCCACTCTCCCCACTCCTGTCCCTGGAACTGACATCATTCACCAAGCTACAATGCTTGTCTCTCCCCTCCTCCAGGAAGTCTTCCCTAACCAGTACTTTTGCAAGTAACATCCAGAGTGGCCAAAAGACCGCTGACATGAACAAGTTGGTCTCTTCAGTGCGCTGGGTACTTACTATGTATCCAATGGCATTGAGTTGACTGCTTTATGTGCATAATTTCCTTTGATTAAAAAGGGAAGCAATTACCAGCAGCCCCATTTAACAGATGTGGAAACTTCTTGAAGGCAGAGACATTGTGCTGCTCACACTCACAAAGCTTTCAGTAGCTAGGTTTTGAATTTAGGTCTACTTATGCTCCTTACTTGGAGCTGCCCTCTTATGCAGGGAAAGCAATACCTACAAAAGGCAGTAGCCTCTGGGAGGATTCTTGGAAAGATTCATCGAGGTGTGTGAGCTCACCTCTTGTTGCCAAAGTGAACATCATCCTTAGGAGCCTGGAGCACCATAGTGGCCTCCTTTTGTGCCCCCCACAGCATTTGTCAGAGCCCTGAAGAGTGGGCACTAATAACTTTTGAGAGAACCCCAAGTTGTAGTCTCTATGGGAACCCCAGAACAGGTATCCTGTGGAGGGACTGAGAAGATTCTAATCAGTGTGGTGAGAGAGTCTTATTCACTCCTCACTCCCCACTTAAAGCTGATTTCAGAGACAGTATCACAGGGACCAAGAAACTCTGCACTCCAAGCTCTAGGCCTGTTTCACTAAGCTTCTTTTCAGGGAGGGAGGAGGAAGCAAAGGGCCCACCTTCTTTCCTTTTTAGGGAGCCAGAATTGAGGTGTGGCCAACTCCTAGGTTAGAAGAGAAAGAACATTTTCAAGTCCAGCTCTCTTCTTGACCCCAGCCTGTCAGAATCTGAGCCAAGGGGCGGCGGCACTGGGCAGCTGCTGCCCAGCACCCAGAGTTCTCACAGCTGTTCAGCTGGGCACCAGGAGGGGCTGCCTCAGGGGTTACTTCCCTGAGAGTGGGCTTCAACACAGACAACCTGGGAACCTGGGAAGGTGAGGGACAGTGATCAGCACAACAGCCTCTAGGAAAGAGCTAGGGAAAGAGCTACATCTCTCCTTCATCAAACTGCCACCCTTTTCTCTTAAGCCTTTGACTAGGAGCTCTGGGTTACCACGGAGATATAAAAGCAATGTTAGAGAAGCGTGCAGAGACAAAATGTCTGGTGGGAGGGAAGCAGCAGGACCTAAACCCAGCTGCCTGCCACTCCAACACATAGGGTCCCGGAGCAGCTGGCCCTCAGGCAACACCTGACCCCACTCCTGCCAAGGGCAACTGGGGTCATCCCTAAGGCACTCCTTGCCTCAGAGAGGAAGGTCCCTACTTCTGGACACCTCCTGGCCTAGGCCTGCTTCAGCCTCCTCTGAGCAAAAGCCTGGCTAAAAGGATGTGCCTGTCCCAGGATCCCCTGGCTGAGGTAGCTGCAGAGGATGTTCTGGGTCCCCACTGTATGGTGGGTGTGTGACCTTCACAAAGCAGCAGCCTGCCACGCCCCCTCTCTCGCCAGCATTCATGGCCAATGACCTTCAGTGCCAAGTGCAGACCTCAGCCAAGGGTCTCCAGTGGCTGGAAACAAGCCCCCGAGGAGCAAGCCTGCTCCATCCTGCTCCCCCAGCCGCATCCATGTTCTCCCACCACTGCGTTCGACAGGAGAGAACACGCCGAAGGCAGCATGTGCACTCCCAGCACACAATACCCTGCGCTCAACCGCCTCTCCTCAATCCAGAAACAAAGAAACTCCCAACTTCTCCCTCAGCCGCTCCCTCCCGGGGAAGGCACTGCTGTGCAGACCACACGACCCTCTCTGACTGCCTGCGGCTGGCCGTCTGCTGCTGGCTGCCTGCTGCTGACCGCTTTCCCACCCCAGGCTAGTCAGACCTGCAGATGCTGCCTGGGCACTTTCTCTTCTGAACAGCCTCTGCAGGAAGTTGCCCACAGCCTCTCAGGCGAAGCCACCGATTCTCCCACAGATCCTCGTGGTTCCTGGACCCTTCTAGCCTGGTCCTTCCATTTCAAAGCCACCCTGCCCCAGGCGTTCCCAGACTTCAACTCCAGGCTGGAAGCTGACAGCAACAGGGTGAAATGCAGAGCCAGTCACGTGTCCTCCCTCCCTTCCCTGCTGCCCCCAAACCTTGATGGCCACATTTAAGCCCAGTCCAGCCAGCCCCCAGAGGTGGGAAGATACACCACCTCCCATGAGAGGAGGCCTGGGTTACCATAGGTGCAGTTACAGCAGAAGCGAATGATGAGGAGAATTTCCATGGTAGCCTCCTTCCCCGCGGCAGGAGCATGTGGCCATCGCTCCCCAGCTCCCGTCTCCCATCAGCAGCCTGGCCACTAAGCCACCTTGCCGGCTGCTGCTGCACAGCCTCCAGAATCAAGCAGCCGCTTCCGAGTGCTCCTCTAGCAAGGGGGAGGGGAGACGCGTGGAGAGGCGGGAGGAGGGAGGAGGAGGAGGAGAAAGAGCCGCCTGCTGGCATCCTAAGGAGAAGCACGTTTGTAGCTGGCCAGCTGCCTGGGGAACAGAGGCTGGATTCCTCGCGCGCGCGCACTCTCTCTCTCTCTCTCACACACACACACACACACACACACACACACACACACACACTCTCTCTCTCTCTCTCTCTCTCTCTCTCTCACACACACACACACACACACACGCGCGCACGCACATGCATGCACACAGGCAGGGCCCACAGTCCACAAACCAGACAAAGGAAGGTGACTGTTAATAGCCCGTCCCCAAAGTACCTTCCATAGTGACTGATGTGTGGCTGTCCTTGGAGTCCTTGGGACCTTTCACTTTGAGTTCCTGTCAAACAGAGGAGAGGAATCACGACCTGGCCCATCCCCCCCAGTAGGAGGGAGGGCTGGAAATCCATGGGTACAAATATAAAGGAGAGACACACACCAGCAGGCCAGCGCCTCCCTCCGCCCAGTGGAGTCCAGTGGCTGCATGTAGGCAAGGAGGGGCTCTGGCAAGAAGGACTGCAATCGTGGGGTTCCTCAGACCCATACAAAGCCTCTTCAGGAGAGTCTGAGGGTCTTGCAGAGGACAAGCAGTGCAAGACCCCTTCCCTTTCATCCTAGCCCCATCACTACCACCCCAACAGCAGCTACTACTAAGGCCAGTATACCAGCTGGTCCCTGGGGATGAGCAGCTGTGAGATGAGCAGTGATGGTACACCCTGGATAGAGAAGCTGAGCTCCACAGGGCGGTCCAAGCTATATCCCACCACGTCAAAAGGGACCCACCCAGCCCACATCACCACCTGCCACTGTCCACCCACCTGTGCCTGTGCTAGGCATCAGAGAGGAAGCTGCAAGAAGGAAGAGGCAACACCCCTCCTGGTCCCATGCAAAGCGACCAGGTACTAAGTGCCGGAAACAAACACCAGAGATGGCTTATTTGATCCAAATCTCTTTTATCTGCCTTTAGAGAGAGAGGTTCCAGCCCCAGCCTTTGGCTGCGGACAATGTGGCCTGTAACTGGAGCTGTAATGCAATCCTTAGCTGCAGAGTGGAGTGCAGAAGGGAGCCTTCAAGGGGGGTGTCAGCAGAAGGCAGGGGTGAGGTGAGGCCAAGGTCAGGTACCCAGGTGGTGCCTGCTCTGCCTGGGAAGAGGAAATGCCCAGGCAGTGGGTGCTCCACAGTTTCTACTTTTGCCTCAGGCTGTTTCTAGACAGTGAAAACCCCCAGAGACTGAGCCTCGGATTTGGTGGGTGGTGGCTGGGGTTACTCAGAAACTGGCTGTACTTCTAGTTGGGGTCTGGATTCCCAGTTTTAGGTACTTTTTTCCCTATACCAGTACAGCATAGAGGTATGAAATTGTTCCTGCTGTAGAGGAGAAGGGCCTAATTGCAGTAATTAAGCGGCAGTGCCAGCAGGAAGTGACAGCGTCAGCGCATGAGTCAGGGTGAGAAGCCACCTGGCAACAGGCCAAGGGGCTGGCTCTGCCACTGGGAACCAGTGGGCGTGGAGAGGAGTTTTGGGGTGAGCACAGGGGTTTCACCAACCGTAAAGAACAGGCAGTTAGTCAGGTTAAGAGGAGACCCTCTCATTCTCTGGACCATACATGACCCTGAGCACTGGAGCAGCTTTGGCGGGGCCTCTCTGAACACAGATTGGGGGACCCAGGGAGGGCTGGGAGCTGAGAGAGAAAGCCCCATCCCTCCAGCCCCAAGACTCAGCCTCAAGGGACTTCCCTGCCCTTAGGTCTCCTCCCAGGCAGAGAGTGACTCACCTGATCCCTGGGTTTGGGGGAAGAAACCCAGCCCAGCCAGGCTCTCTCTCTGCTCCCCCCTCCCTCCCCCATATGCCTAATTGATGAAGGGAAGAGTCAGCAAGCCCAGTGTGGCTGAGGATCCAAGTTCACATTTCCCCCTTCTGGCTTTTATTGGTAATCAAGCTGCATTTTCATCTTCACCTGACTCTTGTGCTGCCTCTTGGCTGACTCCAAACTTGGTTATAACCCATAACCCCAGCAATTTCCCAAAAACTACTCTGCATCTCACCAACCTTTCTTACATAAAGATGAGAGGAAAGAAAAAGGCTCAAGTGGGCCCTGGGAGGCAAGACTTCCAGGGCTGTAAAAGGAACCCACTCCCTCTGAACCAGAGGTTCTTGAGCCCAGAGCTGGGAGGTGGGGTTGTGACTTCATGGCCAGTGGCTAGGGGAGATCACTGAGGTCTTTCTGGATAAAGGGAAAAGTTGGTTGTGCTCCTGCAGGATTCTAGAGCCCCTCCCTGCCACTTTCTGGGTAGAAGTGCTGGTGGCAGACAGTGCTGCACCTGCCCAGGCAAAGGCATATTTCCAGCCACTGGGAACCAGGGCTTACCCATATAAGTCCTCTCTCTGCGTGGGACTGCATGGATCTTAAAATATCATCCAGTCCAGACCTCATCAAATCATCCTGATCATAAAAATCACCCAGGAACCTTTTAAAAATACAGACCCCGTGGACCTCATGCCCAACCTTCTGAACTGAAACTCCAGGGAAGGTGCGGAAGATGTGCATTTTAAACAGTGCTTCTGGTAGTTTTTATCAGGCAAGTCTGAGGCAAACTGGAGGAATCCAGACCTCATTCTACAGAAGAGGAAACAAAGGTCAAGGGAAGGAAAGTAACTTGCTTAAGATCACCACAGTGTGGGAGAATAACGGCTTTTTTCTTTTCTTTTTTCTCTTCCCTGTTCCTGTCTCTAACTTAAAACAGAGTAACAAAGTCAAACAAATTGATATTCTTATATTAAGAGGGAAAATATCAAGTGCAAGAAAGCAAATGTCAGGCTAAGTGTCACCCAGCAAGGGAATCATTTCTTTAACTGACAAGTGGGGAAAGGAGAGGCCCAAAGACAGGAAGACTCTGAGTAGCCCCTAAAGCCCAGGGTTATAGGGGTGACTGTATGGGGAGCTGCCCACCTCTGAGATCTTCTGGAATTGGTTGTTGGACTGACTGCACTTCTCAGCTGTTTCCAGAGCGACTTTATAGTTATCCACAAATGCTTTGTACACGCCAAGCTGGCTGGCCTGCAGGGAGAAGACAGAGGAGAGAGGAGGGCAGGAGTGGGGTGGGAGAGAGGATTAATGAATGGATAAAAAGCTTAACAAGAGCACCTGGAGCTCCCATAGTGCTCAGAACCTCTAACTCAGCTCCAGAGGGCTAACTGGGAACAGAGGGGAAAGGCAGGATGAATATACTACAGTATTCCTTTGAACTTGACAGTTTCCATGGAAACTGGCTCAGCCAATAGGTTAATAAGGGGGCCCTGAGGGGTGGAGAATAGGGTAGAGCCTTTGTTGGCATGCTAGAAATTCTACTCATTGCAGCATTTAACTTTATTTAGCATCATCAAGGGATGTGAAGCCCTATAATGCCTCATACCTCTTTCACATCCTGGAACTAGCTGAAGCAGGGGGAGATGGGAGTAGGGTGGGCATGTGTGGCCTCCTCAACACCCAACCCCCATGTTGAGAGTGGGGCACATCATTTAAAAGCATAGTCCCACTTCCCTCAGTCTGAGCCACATCTGCACCTCCTCAGCTTCCTCGGAGTCAGCAGTGCTGCCTCACTACACATTTGCATGCCACTCTGAATGCAACACAAAGCTTTCCATGATTTACAACTACAGAGAGCCTCACCTCCTCTGGGACATCATCCCTTTCTATAAAAGGGGAAACCGAGGCTCATTAATTCAATTCCTCAAATATTTATGGAAAGCTTTTTCTGTGCCATGCATATGCATTTCCTCTCAGGGAAGCAAAGGGTGGAAGTTCTAATTAAAACCACCAGAAACTATTTCATACCCATCAATCTGACCCAAATTTTAAAGTCTAATGATATCAAGCATTGGCAAGAATGTGGGGAAATAGGACCTTTTATAGCTACTAGTGGGGATATATACATGAATGTAATTATTTGGAGAGTAGTTTGTCAATAATTAAGAAAGTTGAAAATATGCACAGCTCAGCCTACTACCTAGCAAATCCACTTCCACATACAAAGCCTAGAGCTCTGCTGTTCAATACAGTTGCTGAGGTACCTGTGGTGACAGATCACCTGTAATGTGGCTAGTCCAAATGAGGTGTGCTGTCAGTGTAAATCACACACTGGATTGCAAAGGAATCTTAGTATGTAAAAAGGAACATAAATTATCTCATTAATTTAAAAATACTGATTCCATGTTTAAATGATAATATTTTGGGGCCTCCCTGGCGGCACAGCGGTTGAGTGCTAGGCTGCGTAACTGCCTGCAGCCTCTGCGGTGCTTGTTCAATCCCCGGCCATCGGCGAGGGTCCTACATGGCGTGACAGACCTCTCCTGCCTCGACCACTGCTCCCCTCAGCAGCGTACTTTGTCAGTCTGCCTGTTCTGCTCCCCACTCTGGCGAATTCCTTCACCCTCCCACGCTTTTGACTGTACCCAGTGCTTGTATAAATAAATAAATAAATCTTTAAAAAAAATAATAATCAAGTGAGATCAATATAAACTTAAAAAAAATTAAATGGTAATATCTTGGATCTACTGAACTAAGTAAAATACATTCTTAAAATTGACTTCACCTATTTTTACTTTAAAAAAAATGTAACAACTTGAAAACTTTTGGCATGTGTTACATCTCTATTGAAAAGAACTGTTCTCTAGAGAAATTTGCATGTAAGTGTGCACATATGTGTGAGCAAGGCCATTCACTCCTCTGTGGCAAGAGTGGAAACAAATGCTCACACACAGGGCAACCCATACATGTTGTAGTTAAAATTAATGAACTAGATCTACTATAGCAACACTAACACACTTCACAATGAATGAAATTGATAATGAACTGGTGACTGAATTGCAAAAGACATAAAATATGACATATTTTATCTCTTATCTACATTTTACAAGTCCAGCCATCCCTTGGGATCCATGGGAGATTGGTTCTAGGAGCTCTGCTGCTACCAAATCCATGGATGCTCAGGTCACATATATAAAATGGTAAAATATTTGCATATAACCCAGGTAACCCTCCCATGTATTTTACTTTTATTATTTTTTAAAGATTTATTTATGCATACAAGAACTGGGGTGTAGACCAGAGGTGTGGGGGGTGAGAGGATTCACCAGAGAGAGTGGGGAGCAGAACAGGCAAATCTACTGAAATACAGTGCTGAGGGGAGCAGCGGGCGAGGCAGGAGAGGTCTGTTGCACTATGTGGGTTGCTCCCTGGCCAGCCAGGGATCGAACTCGTGCTGCAGTGGCTGCCAATAGCTTGGTAGCACTGTCTTTAACCCCTGTGCCACAGGGAAGGCCCCTCCCATGTATTTTAAATAATCTCTAGATGACTTATACTACCTACTACCATGTCAATGCTATATAAATGGTTGTTTTATTGTTTTGGGAATAATGACAAGAAAAAAGTCTGTACCAGTTCAGTAAAGACGCAACCCTTGTAAACCTAACTACTTAGTATTTATTTTTCATCTGTGGTTGACTGAATCTGTGGATTCACTGCCGTGAATACAGAGGGCCAAGAAAACGTGCAATACCAACTGCAGTCCATTCATGCCAATAGCTGCTTTCAGGTTAGGTGGTAAGGTAAGAGAAAAGGGAGAGGGAGGGAGAGACTTCATCTTGGTGATGCTTTATTTTCTTGATTAAAAAGCCTGCCCATATATCTTCAGAGCTTAACATCTGTTAATTCCGGGAGGTGAGTACCTAGTTGCTAAATTATTCTCTAGATTTCCTGGTTAACATTTTTACCCAAAGAGGTAACAAGGAGGTTCAGCTGCTGTGAAATTTCTTCAGGGGCTGCCACCGGGGTGCTGAGGATAGTGAGCTGCTCTGAGTTTCACTAGTGACCACGCTGCTTTCTACAGAATCCTGGGGCTCCTTAAGGAACCTAAGAAGTGGGGTGGAGAACCTGGAGCTGCCCAGAGGAGAGGTAGAGCCCTTCTGGGAAGTTGGCAGGGGGGCCCAGGAAAGCCAGAGAGGAAAGTGAGAACTGGGATGCAGAGAAGCGAGGGCCAGACAGACCAGGATTTTCAAAAGAAAAATCTTGGAAGGGGTAGGAGGGCCTTAGCTTGTCTTTATTTCAGGGGGAGTATTGGCCCATTGGGGAACCATTGCACAGCGGATGTGCTAGCCAGCTGCTTTCTAAACTTAAGTAAAAAATCATTGCTTTTCTTCTCTCAGGACTGTGCTCTCCTTATCCCCCTTTTCCATGAGAAGGAGAAGGCTGGCTGCCTAAGGGTATAGTAGGAGGTGCGCCACCTGAGCAGAAGGTCACCTGCCATCCCAAACACTGCTTCCATGGTGCAGCCTGATCTGTATGTAGGGCCTAGGCGGGGCCTGCCAGGGCCCGCCTGTGAAGTGGGGGTTGTAAAGTGGGGGTTGCTTAGAAACAGCAGCTTGGCACTGGGATGACCTCATAAAACAAATAGCAGAGCTGCTAATTCCCTTCTCTCAGTAATGGATAATCAAATACCCAGAGACCAGCTGAAAAGAGACTGCCTCCAGATGCCCAGCCTGTCCCAGCTCCATCCAGGCCCTCCCAAGCATGCAGTCTGAGGGGCCTCAGTGCATGATTCTGGGGCAGAAAAAGTGGTAGCAAATTCATGACCAGACCCCTGGAGCCAAGATCAGAATGGGCGACCCTGGTGACAGCAGGGTCCACATGATAAATCTAAACGAGGGCAGCCTATCCACTATGCTCTGGGCTACTTGCCCTCTTGTAGTCCTCACCCACCAGGTTTGCTCCTTCTGAGGGGTGAGGAGAGAGGCTGCCCCCAGGCCAATCAGCTCAGGGGTGAGGCCAGAGTGTTGATTAGGTATTCATGGTCTCTGAACTGGGGCAAAGCACTATGGGTCTGCCAGGACCAGAAACATAGAGTTCCCTCACCACACCACCTTCTGGGTTGTCATCTTAATAATAATAATAACAACAACAACAACAACAACAACAATAAATAGTAGTAGTGGCAGCAGCAAGTAGTCCCAAGCCTTAATTCAAGCACTTTTTTAGGCATTAACTCGCTTAGTTCTCAAAACAATGTAGTGATATAAATACTATTATTAACCTTATTTTTACAGAGGAGAAAGCTGAGTCACAGAGAGGTTGAGTAAGTTGCCCAAAGTTAAAAGCTTAATCTATGGCAGACTGGAATTTAAACCTATCTGTGACCTGGATCTAGAAACTGCTTGTCCTACAACACTGCTGGTGTCTCAGGACACAGACATCAGGCCCTGAGATGTCTCCCTCAATGGCCTTCCAAGTTTTCCCAAGTGCCAATGGTTAAGGTCATGGTTCACCTATCCATCCATACATTCATCCATCCATCCATCCATCCATCCATCCATCCATTTACATCCATTCATTGTTTATGCATTGAGTACTGGGATGGTTCTGGGGGTCTAATGACAAAAAAAACCCCAGTCTGTCCTCTTGGAGTTTATGGTTTTGGGGAGTCAGGCAGTTTTAAGTGTTTACTGAGGGGACAAGCACAAGGACTGTGTTCAAGGAGCTGTGGAAGGCTTTTCTGAGGTCACTTCTAAGCTGGGAACTTACTGGGAAAAGCCAGCAAAAATGGGGAAGGATATTTCAGGCTGCTGGAGCTGTGAGTACAGAGAGATTGAGAGTGCTTGCAATGTGAACCAAAACAGAAAGTTCAATGTGGGCGGGGCACAGAGGGCGGAGAGGCAGTAGTCAGAGGCTAGAGGTGGATGGAGGCCAGCATGCAATGGGTCACCAAGTCATTCCTCGGGGACTGGTCTTTAGCCAATGGGCGAGGGGGAACCACTGTCAGGATTTAAGCAAGGAGAAGCAAGGTCTGTTCAGGAGTTTACAAAACTCTCTCCTGCTGCTAGGTAGGGGTGGGAGGTAGAGAGTAAGCATGCCCGGAGGTAGGAGCCATTCATCAGGCTACAGCAGTGGTCCAGGTGAGGGCAAAAGGGGCTGGGAATGGGTGGAGAGGAGTGGGTAGCTGTGGGCATTAAAGAATTAGCCTCCATTCATCAAGTCCTAGCCCTGAAGGGTGGACAAGGAGAGGCATGGCTCCCACCCACCCCACCTCTGTCCATACCCAAAGAACAGTGGCTACTGACTCCCAGTCTCCTTCTTGCCAAGGCTGGCAGAAGTTATAGGGGGAGAGCCCATATGTCTAACCTGGGGTCCTCCAGGGGACACAGCCAGAGACAGACACAGAGTTAGGGGAGAGGGTGTGAAGGAAGCAGTGACCTCTGCATTTCCCATCTGCCAGTCAAAACATGTGTTCTACCTCCTCTTACCTTGCCCTTCCTGTGCTCTCAGTGCTTTTCTGCTCCTGGGCCTCAGGAGAGAGGGTCATTAGCTGACACGGCCTCCCACCGACCATTTCATTGCCGGAGCAGCCCTGAGGTGCAGTGAATGCCCCAGGTCTTGGGTGACAGAGTCTTTACACACCCACTAGAGGACAGGGGTCCTGAAGCCCCAGCAGGGGAGCCTTCGTTCCAGTCCTGGCACCCCCTTGGTGAGAGAGAAATGGTGCCCTGCCAGCAGCACCTAGGCACGTGGATGCTGTCTTCAGCATTCCTAGAAGCATTCTAGGGTTCAGTGGGGGCCACAGGAGTGGAGGCAACAGGCCCCAGCTCCCATACAGCAATAGCAAGGCTTTCCTCCAGAACTCAGAAATAAGCCAGGCCTTCAAGGAGACCAAGAGGGCTGAGACTGACTGGTCTGCTCCCAACATCAGCAGTTTCAGCAAGGCCTTGTAAGGACCGCTCCTTTGATGGGAGACTCACCAGCTTCTGGAAGAGGTGGCCCATGGTGACCTGGCTGTCCCACTGCTGCACCTTGGGGCAGAGGTTGTCATAGAATTCTTTGTGGATTTCATAGATGTCCTGGATCTTGTAGAAGATGGTCTCAATCTGTTGGATGGTGAGCACAGGCTGGGAGGTGGTAGCGGTGGCCTTTAAGGGTTTCATGGGCTGGGAGAAAAGGAAGAAAGAATGAAGGTGAGAGGCAAATAAATCAGTGTCAACAGGCCCAGGGCAATGATTAGCCCTTGCTGCCACCAGAGTTCTGCCTAGATAAGGCCATTGAGGGCAGAGCGCCTGAGATGTGGTTCATATCAAAGCGCTGCCATTTCAGGCCCCCACAAGTCTGGTGCTACAGCAAGGACAGGGAAACTGACAGGCCCCAGCTGGAGCCTGGCCCAGCAACCTTGCCTGGCAAGCGTGGTGGTGTCAAACCTCCTTCCAGAGGGATCCCAGACCCCTGCCTGTATTGGGTTCCCTTGTAGATTTAACAGGATCCATCCTTGCCTTTCTTCCACAATGACCTCACGCTTCCCTGTCACCCTTCAGTGGAGGATAACAGACCGGGAACTCAAGTCCTTAGCTGTTTCCTTCCTAGAAAAAGAACAAGGTGCTAGGATTTGGGGAGAGAGTCTTGGAGAGACCCAAGACCAACTGCTCTGATATTTCAAGTCCCCATCACTTAGTATAGAGTGAGCGGTGGCACACACATGCTGTCCCATCTCCTGCACCCACGACAGACATTCCAAATGATCACACTGAGCTTTCTCAACAAGGCTGTTGTCGTCTCAGCTTCTTTCTCAATGCCAAGGCTGACAAGCCTGATGAATCTGTCTGCCATCACTACTTGTCTACACCAGGATGCTCCAGATTTCACAAGTAGAGAGGGGACAGTCAGACCCTGGTTCAGGACCATCCCCCAGCACTAGCTAGGAGCTGAACCACCATCTTAATGCCTGACAGCAGGACTGTGAGACAATGGGGCTTGGGTGCATTTTCTTTAGTATGATTCCTGAATTTTCTAAACCACCTACAATGAATTAATATTTTATAATCAGGAGAAAAGTTCTTGAAATTTATAGTTGGAACAAAAAACCTGATATCTGAGGGTAAAGAACTCCTTCTGGGTTAACTTTCTCTTGGTCCCAAAGATGCCCAGATGGCACACCTAAGGCCTGGGAGACAGGGTGTGGAAACGTTCCACACAGGGGGCATGGAAAGGCAGAGTGCCTCACCTGGAAGAGCCCAGTCAGACATGGTGGATGCTCTGTATCTAGCTGAAGGGCATGTGAAAAGCAGCCTTTGAGTTAGCTGGGGTCTCTCTGGAGACCCAGAAGCAGTAAGGAGAAGTGTGGGGACAGGTATGGGGGCACAAAAGCTGCCCCCCACTGTCTCACAGGATTAGGTAGGGAACATCCCGACAAGAGAAGCATTGCAGCAGAGAAGGAACGGGTGATGCAACAGTTTAGCTGCTGTCTTGGAGGGCAAACTGGCACTGAGGGAGACAACGGGAGGCTGGGTCACCCTGAGAGATGGCCACCAGCTCAAGTTGGCCAAACTCACAGTCCGGCTTCACTCCATCCTCCTGTCTGCCTCACCCTGATGGTGGCAGAGCCACTCTGCCTGCAAGAGGAAGTCCCATCTATCCATAAGTCCAAACTATGGTCCTTGGCCCCTTTGTTCTCCCAGCTCTAGAAAGTCCAGGCATGATGATAAATTAGGCAGAAAAAAAGGGCAGAGCCCTCCTTCTGATCCTCTCAGCACTGGAACCAATTAACCCTAATGTCCAGTCCTTTGCTAGGAAGTAGGATGGGATTCAACCTGGTACAGGCCAGGCAGTGTGGGTTTGAGTCCCAACTCTGTCACTTAAGTAGCTTTGGGCAAGTCATTTAGCATCTCTGGGTCTTGGTTGCCGCATTTATAAAACATGCATAATATTATGGGAAGGCCAAAGCCCTAATTTATATAAATTATCTTGTATGTGTCTAGTTTAGAGAAGGGAAGCAATAAATGCTTGCTGCAACTATTATTACTATGCACCCCACAAATTATGTCTAGTGCTTACTGGAAGGCCAAACCTGGGTGTCCTGTGATTCATGAAACACATCTAATCCCTGCCCCCTGGGAACTCTCCCTCTATAAGGGAGACAGACAAAACACAAGGAAACCATCAAACACATCACTACATATGAGGGTGAACGCAATGACTGGATGAAGGGACACCTCCTGAGACAGGAGGACAGTTTCTCCAAGAAGGAACATATACCTTGAAGTGGAATCAGGGGTGAAAGGGGGAGGGTTCCAGGCAGACTTCCTCCACACCTGGTCCTGGGGCCAGCAAAGGTGTGGTGAGAGGGGAGATGGAAGAAAACCTGTGCGCCGGTGTGCAGTGGGCAATGGGGAGGAGAAGAGCGAAAGCAGGACTGGCGGGGTGGGTAAGGGAAGGGATTCGTTTTTTGTTTTTTTTTTTTTTAAGATTTATTTATTTATTTATTTATTCATTCATTCATTCATTCATTCATTCATTTATGCAAGCACTGGGTACAGTCAGAAGCGCGGGAGGGTGAGAGAATTCACCAGAGCCAGAGCAGGGAGCAGAGCAGGCAGAAGGACCGAAGTACACTGCTGAGGGGAGCAGCGGGCGGCAGGAGAGGTCTACGCGCCATGTGGGACCCTCCTCTGGTGGCCGGGGAGCAGCCGGGGATGGAACCAGCGCTGCAGAGGCTGTGAGCAGCTTTGCAACCCAGCGCTCAACCGCTGCGCCACCGGGGAGGCCCGGGATTCGGTTTTTGAGGCCATGCAATGACCCGGCTTTCCTGGAGGGTTTTAAGCAGGAGAGTGATTTTCCAATTTTCTTTTCAGGAGATCATTTTTATGATTCACAATTCCTGTTCTGGGATATAATCTATAGGTAAACTGGATCAACACAGATGAAATGATTAGTTAAAAAGGGCAAAATAGGGAGGATATTATCCAACTTGGACTATAAACAACCACCAAGTGATTCCAAGGTTATGCTGGTGCAGCTCAGAGGGCTTCACAGAGGTGAAGGGAACAGGGCCTAGAAGGTTGGGAAGACCAGAGTGGGCAGCAGGGTGGAGAAACAGAAGGAACCAGGAATGGGGACACCTTCAGATTCCTGGCTCCCAGCATCCATAGAGGATACAGAGCTGGCCTCAGGGTCACTACCCTAATTTATCCTTTTCACCTTTACCCAGGACCCATTGGAGGTTCTAAGTTGCCACGGAGCCCCAGAATCATGAATCTCTGTCTCTGTTTTGGTTTAATTCACACAGATTAGGGGACAAAGAAAATGAGGTATAAAGGGAACAGCCCTGGGAAGCCAGAGGGGTCAGGATTTCCCAGAAGTTGCTGGGGAAACACTTATGTACTGCCTGTCCAAGACAAGACACAACCGCTCTGCTTCCTCCTGAACTTCCTACTTGGTCTACAAAAGGGGAAGAAACTGTGCTTACCAGGGGAAGGTCACATGGACAAGGCCTATACCCAGGGTGTCAGAGTTCTCACGACAAGGCTGGGGACCTTTGGTCTTACCCCTTATTTCACTTAATGGGGAGAAGGCCTGAGTGTGTGCCCTTGGCTGGCCAGTGACCTAAGGCAATTTTTGTTTTTAAACTGGCAAAGTCAGGAATAAAGGTTTGGGGTGGGGAGAGGTGCTTGAAAGGCAAACGCAACCCAATTCAGAGCTTTGACCCAGCACTGCTATTGTTATAGGACAGGGAGAGGGGCAGCCCAAACCCCGCAAACCTGCCTATTCTAAATGGGTTCTGCCATCCGCCGCATCAACACAAAACATAGGAGACTTTAATGGGAAGGAACTTTAATTAAACTAGGAAACAACACAGGTAAGGCAAAGAGTCTAGTTTCTAAATGAAGCATCCAGAGTTACCCATCCCCTCGTGGGTAAAAGTCCATCCAAATGGGATTGGCCCAGAACAAGGCCCCAAAGCCTGCCACAAGTCTAAAGCATCTTCCAGTGGGGACCCACAGAAAAGGGTCACAAACAACCGGACAAGCCCGGAAGGAAAACAGCAAAATCAACATCAAGATAAAAGCTGCCATGGTCACCTCCCCATGGGTCTCACCCACATCTGTGTCACCCAGTCCACGACCAAAAGACAAGCGCAGTTTCTTTACGTTTCTCTAGGCTCCATGCGCCTCCTCCAGGTCTCCTGGCTCCATCCTGCTTCCTTCCTTCCTCAGTCTCTTCTGCAGCTTCTTCTCTTCCTGCTCAGCTCCACCCTCCCTTAGGTGGGGCAGGGAACCTCCCCCTTTCCTGGGGACCACCCTGTTACACTATTCTGCCAAAGTGCTTGACTTACCAGTTACCTTCTCATTCCTTCTAGAATCCTGTTGCAGAAGTGAGGAGGTGGGCCCTGGCTCTATATTTTATCAGGGGAGAAACATGTTCTTACAAAGAGTACCTGAGTGACCTGAGAGTCAACCCTGGTTTCGCGGGAAGACGGACCAGGTGAGTTCTAACTTGCAGATATTTCACAGGACTATTTGTCTGGCCTGTCTCTCAGAAACTTTCAAAACAGAGGAAGAAACCCACTTCCTTCACCTCCTATTCCAGAGGCCTGGAGGCCCCATCACCTCAATTACTCCTCCTGGGAGCCCAGGGAGGAAGGCATCATTAACCTGTTTTACAGAGATGCAGTGGGAAGTGCTGTAGGCAAGATGCAGGCCAGATGCAGTACCCAGGACTTGGGGAGATGAAGAATTGTGCACATTCTGAGTTGGGGAGATGCAGAATTACAGGTATTTGGGGAATGGCAGACTTTAACGTATTTGGTCTCCTTTCCCTTCCTCTACCCAGGCCCCCAGCCCCTTCACAAGCAATCTGAGCCCACTAGGAACCTGGAGGGTTTCAGAAGATACCAAACCTTGTCCCCGCCAGCAATCCAGGGACTCCTTTGTGGCGTCCCAGTCTGGCTGGTTTGTGTACACAGTCTTAGGTACACACGCCCAGCAGTTTGCATATCAGGAAGTGTTAAGCTAAGAACAGTCAAACACACGGAGCTGAGCTGTGGGAATGGGGGTGGGGTGGTGAGGAGAGCTGGGTGTGGGAGGGGGAGTAACATGAAGAGGAACGGTTTTCTCCTTGAGCCTCTTTGTCAGATTACCCCAAAGAGCAAAGGTTTTAGTTGAGAGCGGAGGACTCCCAACTCAAGGGGGAGGGCGGGCTTGACTTCTTATCTCTGAGGCTTATTTATCTGTGGCTGTGCAGGGTTCTGCCCCCTCTTCCTGAGGCCTTCCAGCCACAGACCAGGCCTGCTAGTTCTTGCCCAATGCTTAAGGAAGAACCAATAAGGGAGCCAGAATGACAACTGAGTTAGGGGTAGAGGAGGGATCTGCTTTGGATCACTTCAGGCCAGCCTCTCAGTTTAAATCTCTGGGGCAATAGCAATTAAAAAGGCAAGGTAGAGAGGGAGTGAATTCCCCTCTAAGTCTGTTATCTCTTCCAGGACAAGTGGAAACTGAAATCAGGCCCAGTGACAGATGAGAAATCTAGTTGGAATCTAAGTGCCATCTAGTTGGAATCTAAGGGGACTGGGCCTTCACTTCCTTCAGGGAAAGGGTGTGTTGACAGAAACAGGCCGAGACCTGCATTCTCTCCCAGCGCTGGAGAAAATAGAGTATCATATAACACTTAGGTTCTGTTCCAAGAGCTTTGGTGCAAACTCAACTGATCCGTACAACCACACCACAAAGAGGACTAACATGAGCATGCCCACCCAGTTTGCAGATGGAGAAAACGAGGCACAAAGGTTCAATAATCTGTAGAAGGTCTAGAACTAAGTCAGCCCAAGATTCAGCACCAGGCAGGCTGGTTCCTTTGTTTGAAGGCCTTTCAAATAGCAGCCTTTTAGGGCCTCCCCAGTGGCGCAGCTTCATGGCGCAGCGGTTGAGCGCTGGGTTGCGAAGCTGCCCACAGCCTCCGCAGCACAGGTTCGATCCTTCGGTCCTTCTGCCTGCTCTGCTTCCCGCTCTGGTGAATTCTCTCACCCTCCCGCGCTTCTGACTGTACCCAGTGCTCGTATAAATAAATAAATCTTTAAAAAAAAAAAATAGCAGCCTTTCAGGAATGACAACCCTTCCTCCTCATCTTGGTACAGCAATTCAGTTGTATAAGATACATTTCAACTGTGTCTGATTAACGTTTGCCTGTCCTTCCCTCCTTCAGCTAACAAGTGACTGCATAAGTATGGAGCATTGAATATAGTCCCTGAAAGGATCACCTGATCTTTGCAACCCCATGAAGAGAGAGAATGGGGGCCTCTCCGGTGGTGCAGGGGGTTGAGCGCCACACTGTGAAGCTGTCCACAGCCTTTACACCACAGGTTCAATTCCTGGCCAGCCAGAGAGAAACCCACATGGCGTGGCTGACCTCTCCTGACTTGCTCGCTGGTCCCCGCAGCAGTGTATTTCAGTCAGTCTGCCTGTTCTGTTCCCTGCTCTGTCTCTGGTGAATTCTCTCCCCCTCCCATGTCTCTGACCTGTACCCCAGTTCTTGCATAAATAAATAAATCTTCAAAAAAGAGAGAGAGAATGATATTCTTCTCATCCCAAGACTTAAGGAGGTTACACTGGCTTGCTCAAAGCTCAGCATACGTAAGAGATAACATGGACCACCACGCACGCGTGCGCGCACACACACCCCCAATCACTCCCCCCCCGCCCCCCCCCCCCCCCCCCCCCGCCCCCGCCCCCCCACTGCGCCAAGTGTAGGGTAAGGAAAAATGTCAGGCTTTTCTGCTCTCCAGCCATCAGGATAGATGATCCTGAATGCATGGTCCTGAATGCATGCCTGATGGCGGGCACCTGGAGTAGGGTGTGGGCATAGGTAGATGGGATTCACCTGGGCTGAGACTGGGCTTTTAAGGGCGGCGTCATGGGGATGCCAGCAGAAGCCGAAAGAGAAGCCAAGAACGAATGGAAGCCGAAAGAAGAAGAGAAGCAGAGAGAATGCCAGAGAGCCCAGATAGAGTGAAGATTTGCCGGGGGCTGAGAGGACTGCCAGCCTCCCGGCCCCCCAGCACCCTTGTCTGCTGTGTACTGGGTGAATCCCAGTAAAAACCTGCAAAACCACTGAGGACTCTGACTCCTCCTTTACCTGGTCTGCTGGATCGTGGCGAACATGCTCAGTGTCCTGTCCTGCCCTTACACCAAGACTTTTCATGAAACAGTACTGATTCTTACATTTTTTTTTCTTGCCTGTTTAATAATGGTTCGACCCACTATGCTGATTTCACAATTCATTGATGGTCAATACACACAGTTTGCAAAATAGTAAGTCTACTATTAGTGGCAGAGTTGAGTTGTGCTGTAGTTCTGATCCCAGACTGGAGTCCTATCTATCTGCCATGCTGTCCTCACTTGAAAAACATTGCACGTACTGACGAATTCACCCCTGGGAAGATCTACCACCAAAACAGTGCGTTGCAAAGTGTGTTGCATTTTGATAATTATTCCTTGAGTGATAAATGCCAGGTCCCCTGGGACACTGAGTGACAATAGCTCTCACCACAGGCACCCGAATGTGGACCTTAGAATTTTTGTTAGAATGAGTTTCTATTGATCGACATTTCTGATTCCTCTTTTTTCTGACATTAACTTATGTCTCAGACTACAAAACACCCAGGGAGAGAACTTTATATGCCACAATCACTCTGCATAATATCTAGACACATCTAATAAGCACTTTCCTCAAAGGCAAAACATCTTACATCTGTGTTGAACTTTTACATTTCAGAAACCTTTGAGCATTCTCTTCCTAGACCGATGCTCACAACAGCACCTCCATCTTAGAGAGGAAACTGAGGCACCTTCACAGAAGGCTGGGGTTGGTCCAACACCTCAGAACAAAGCCCTTCTCATAACAAAAAACAAAAACACAAAACACAGCCCTCCACCTCATGTTTCCCGACACAGAACCTCAGACCTTTGGAAGTTCACTTTTCGCAGGGAGGAGGAAGAACTGGGACCAGCAATGACAAAGAGTCCTCAGTTTGATTGCCTGGTAGTGATTGCCGAGGGCACAGTGTGGAGGCAGTGGCTAGCCACCTCCACACCCCAGTGCTGTGACTGACTAGTAATGCCTGTGCCATAGTCATGGGTAATGGGCGTTTGCCATCCCCAACCTGCCTGTGCTGCTTCTCCTGCTTTTCCTAGGGCAGACAAAGGAGAGTCAGGTGGAGGGGCAGAGGCCCTTTCTGGCATTGACCGTGGCTACCCGATGCCAAGCTGTGAGCAGAACAGTTCCAGGAGACTCTGCCCACAGGGAAGGGCTTATCCAGGTCCCTTTCCTTCCCAACTCCAAAAGCTGTTTTAGGAGGCACTGCCCTGCAGGGGGTCCAGAAGGGCCCGGGACATATACTCACCAGCAACAGGGCTTCCAGCTGGTTAATGTAGATCTCTTCGCTGGCCAGGAACCCCGAGAGCACCAGCTTCCTCATCTCCAGGCCTTTCCCTGCTTCCACCTGTACAAAAGCAAACCCAAAGCCACAAATGATGAGGAATGAAGCCCAAATCTCAAGTGGCCCGTTTTCTTGTTTTTTTGTTTTTTTGTTTTTTCCTCTTCTTTAACACTTTCATGGGGGATAAAAGCCAGATAAACTTGGGAAATACATAAATGTAAAAGGAAAAATAATCATCCATCTTCCTACTACTAATCTCTAGTTTTGTTTCCCTCCCATCCTGTTTTCCATGTTTCCTTACTTGATATTCATCCATCCATGCATCTATCCACCCATCCACCAACATATTTAACCTTATAAAATTCAGCACGATAACAAAGGGCCTGACCTCATGTGGTGGGGAGGATACAGAATTATGGCAGTGGCAGAGCATGGTCCATCGGAGAACACACAGGGCTCAGAGGGGGCACCAAGAGGAAGTGATGTACAAGCTTCCTTTATACAGAGAGTGGTTGGAATTGGCCACTGGAGTCCCAGCTGTGGCCTTCTAGCTACACCTCTGACTTATCTTTTTGTCCCTGAGGTTCAGTCCCACAAGAGGTGTTGGTCATGGGGCCGTGAACACCAAAGCATTTCCTGACTGCCTCACTGTATAAGCTGCAGTGTCAACAGACCTACAGGCCTCCTCTCAACTCCAGAGCTCCTTCCTGTTCCTCTGTGAAGATCATGCCCCATGCAGCCTTAAATGCCCATTTACTAGCACAGTGCCTGGGATAGAGAAAGTGTGTGAAAGGAAAACATTTTTTCCTGCCATCCAGGATCACCAAGGGCCATTCCTAGCCTCCTCCCTTTTCCCTTCCCTCTCCCACCACCCTGCCACATTTAGTTCCCAAGCCCTTCAAAGCACTCTTGCTGATCTCCTACAAGGACTTCCCTTGTGTCCCGCCCTCCCCTCCACTGTGCTCCAGGTCCACAGCATCCCACGCCGCTGTCAGGATTCTTCTCACTGACCTTTCCCTCCCATCCACACAGCAGAGCCAGGTCAACCTGTTGAGAACGCCACTTACACCTCATGCTTGTTAAGGCCTTAATATCAACCCTGAAAAAATGTGATTATGTGGGGATTCAATTAGGTTATTTATCCACTTATTTATTCATTCAACAAATATTTACTGAAAGGGGAAACGAGCATACATTAGATCTCGTTCTCATGTGGCTTATAATCTAGTGGAGAAACAGCTGTATTATAAAAAAACAAGTAAATATATGACTATACACTATGATATGGGATCCAGGTTATTCTTTACTTGGACACCTTCAGTGGCACCTGGGGCCTCTCCCTACCCTTCCAGAGCTCTTTGTCTTCTCAAATGCCAGGAGTGTTCTAGCTTTTGAATTTCAGTTTTTGCTACTCCTGTTGCCTAAAATGTCTTCTCCCACCCCAGCTCTTCTTGTCTAAATGCCAGCTTGCTTGATGGCACAGCTGGTCTCTGGCCTGCGGCGTCAACTCCTACAACCTGGGAGTCTGCAGCACCTTGTTACCTGTTACAGATTTCCAAGGGCTGAAGCACCTGCAACACATTCCCCTGCACACTCCTGAAGCCCAGCACCATGTGATACCCCTAGAAAGGGGCACCTAGCATTCATTAGCCTTGCCTCAAGTCCTTTCTACTCTCCCCATTTAGCCCTCAAATCCCTCATAGAGGCTACTCTATTTTTTTCATCCTACAATTGGAAACAACAAACCAGGCTTAAAAGAGGGAAGAGACTAACTAGCTCAGGATCACACAGCTAAGAAAGCTCAGAGCAGAGTCCTTGAACACCAAGCTTCATGCCCGCCCACTGCTCTGATGATTTCTTTGGGCTTGTGTTCCTTTTCCAAGCATCGCTGGATTACCTGGAATCTCAAACAGATCCCTTTCTGGGCCTCAAATGCACAACCTTAACACAGGATAGAAGGGTGTATGCAGCCATCAGAATCCTAAATCCTGAAAGAGCTGCTCCCCCCTCTAGCCCCCCACCCCCACCCCGTGGCATGATTCCCAGGTGTTTCCATCCTTTTCCCAGGTGAGAGAGTAATCCTTGGCCTTCCATCAGCTACCCATTTAATAGATCTGTGCTAGAGTCTGAAATGCTATCTGACCCTATGGTAGAAGAAAATGTTCTGCTAAAGACATACACATTCTACCCCCAAACCTGTGACTATTGCCTTATATGGTAAAAGAGACTTCCTGCTGTGGCTAAATTAAGGATTTTTAGAGGGGGAGATGCTCCTGGATTATCCAAGTGGACCCTATGTAATCACAAAGGTCCTTATGAGAGGGAGGTAACAGAGTCAGAATCAGAGACAAGTTCATGTGACCCCAGCGGGGGCGCTGTGACTGACCTTAAGATGCTACACTGGTAGGGCCTCCCCTGTGGCGCAGCTGTGACAAAGTTCGATCCCCAGCTGCTGTCCCACATGGCGCGCAGACCTCAGCAGTGTAGGCTTCTGACTGTACCCAGTGCTTGTATAAGAAGCATGAGATGCTACACTGGTAGCTTTGAAGACAGAGGAAGAAGCCATAAGCCAAGGAATACAGGAAGCCTCTAGAAGCTGGAAAGGAAAGGAAGTAGGTTCTCTCCTCTTGAGCTCCCAAAAGGAATGTAGCCCTGCTAACCCCTTTAGACTCGTAAGAGAATAAATGTGTGTTGCTTTGAGCCACTAAATGTGTGGCAATTTCTTTCAGCAGCATTAGAAAACCAGTATGGACGCCAAACTTTAGGGAAGAACAATGGTTATTTATTGATGGCTTCAAGTACTTGAAAGCACAGTTCTAAGTGCTTTTCATGGATTAAGTCACTGGAATCTGGAAGGTATTTTCATTATTCTCCCAAGGCAGAGAGTATAGCTGCCTGGAGTGGTGGCCTTGCAGACAGGTAGGGGGCACACTCTCCTAGTAACAAGGTCAGAGCTGGAGCAGGGCGCCAGCCCCAGCTCCTCAAGGTCAGATCCATGGTCACCTCCCTAAACGCTGCATAAACGCAGCTGCGTCCCAAGCTGGACAAAATGGGAACTGGCCCTCCTTGTTAGGGGCTAGCACCCCACCCCCAACTGTGCTCCATTCCCCTCCTGTTCCTTGCCAACCAAAGATTTGCCTGAGGGTCTGGAAACACTCTCTAAAGGAAGTCACTCAGGGCATACCGTGAGCTGAATTGTAGAGGTGGCTGGACCAGGACTGGGCAAAGAGCTGGTGGTTCACAGCCTGCCCAGCCTTTACCCATCCTGGTATAAGCATGGACCTTGTTGTCAGCCCCTTTGACAGTCCATTTCAGCAAGATGCTCTCTTCAAGAGACTTCCTACTGCAGAGTCCAAACTTGAAAGAGCTCTCCAAAAAGCCACAGTCAAGAGTCCCCACTCTGTGCCACATTCATTATGAAGTGCTGGCTGGCATGGAAGTGACGGAGAGCTTAAGGACGTGAAAAAAATTCTGCAAATCTCACCAACAGGAGGCCTGTTACTCAGGTAACACCAAAAACCTCTTCCATTCATTTTTTCTTTCCTCAGACCCCACATGTTCCTGCTTTAGAATTATCTGGAAATTCACAATTGTTTCTCCAATTCATGTGGATTATTCTTGTCTTATAAAATATCAGGGTTTGACATTCATTCATTCCGCAATGTTCTCCCAGCACTGGTGAGACAAAGTTGAGTGGGACAGTCTCTGCTCCCAATGAGCACTCCACAGGTGCCCACATGCCCAGAATCCCTGGGGTAAGTTCTCTAGAGAGTTCAGGGCCACCCCCCCCCCCCCCCGCAGCTTTGCAGCTTGCTTGTCCCCCAACACAGGAAAGCTGCTTTCTGAGTAACATTGTCCCCACTTCCTCCCCAAGTGGAGCTTATGAAATGAAGCTGCAGGGGCTCATTCATCTTCAGTGTTTTATACAATCTACTAGGCTGACAGTCTGTCAGCCTGGGGACCCCAACTCCAAGAGGTCAAGTCATTCTGATAGGGACACAATCTGTAAGCAAGGCTTAGCCAGTTCTGGCCTGATCCCCTACAGAGTTTAGAGGCTAAATAAAGACTCCAAAGGTTTGGTTCTAGGCCAAGCCAAGAGACAAGCTCCCCAGGAGTTCTGATCTCCAAGACAAGAATGAGGCAGGACTAGCTGCAATTCAAAGCCTTAGCTAAGAGGCTGCAGACAGCAGAAGGCAGCCCATGGACCACACCAGCTTGAAGGAACACCCAGTAGGATCTGCTCGGAGCAGATCCACAAGGTTTAGGGGTTACACCCATGCCATGCATTGACCTCAGGATGGATAGCTCCTCTCCGAGCTAAGACAATGCAGGGACATCCAGCCATTTTCTTCCCTCCCTAGGACTAGGCACAGGGATGGTCTCTTGGCTATTTCCTCCTCAGCAGTACATAGAGCAGAGAGGAGAATGGCAATTGCTAGAGGACAAAGCGCAAATTCTAGCTGCCCCACCCTCCTGATATAGCCTGCGTATCCTGTACTCCAGGTTCCCTACTGTCTGAAGCTTTAAACAGACCCCACAGGGCCCAGCAGTATTTGCAAACTTCAGTTGCTATTCATATCCCACCTTTGCAGTTTTGTGATACTCATACCACCTGCACTAATATTTACTTGGGACTAATCTTTACAACTTAGTTTTTAAAAGCACAGTCTTAGCCCAAGCATTATATTTGAAATCCCAGGAAAGATATGCAAGTCATGTTTTTCTAATATACATTAAAATATATACCTAATTATAAAGTTTAAAAAATATATCCCGGTGCCACCTTAAACCATGTCTCAAGTAATCATATATGTGGCCCACATTTCAGAAAACACCCACGTGGGGGACAAGGACATGGTTGCCACTGCACATGGGAGAAAAGACCTGGTCAGGTAAAACAAAAAACATAGGCGATTCAGACAACCCATTAAAAAACTGGCACAGAGTAACACCAGAAGGGTTAATCTGCATTACAAAAGTATTTTTATTCCTGATAAATGAGTTCCTTTAAATAGCAGCTTTTATATAGCAAGGCCCCTATCAGTCCTATGTATCTTAAAATA